GAAACTTCAAAATATGAAACTTAGACTTTGTTTTCTATTTTAATTGCTTGTTTCTATGTGTGGTTAATTTTTCAATCTTATTGAGTGTGTTTTTGTTATAAAGTGGCTGCCAAAATATTTTCATGAACACTGTTAAAAGTGTTATTAATCAATTCCATTAATTGCTCAAAGTTTTGGAATCATTATTTTCTTTGTTGTTACAAAAACTCATGTTGATTTTTATATCAATTATAGTGAGTTGATTTTGTGGAATTATAAAGTACATTGTTAGGAGTATCCTATATCTCATATTGAATGGGATGAACGTAGTTACCTAGGATGTATGTTCCCTTTTGATTTTTGAGTATTATGCTATGAATGTCGAAATACTTTATGTGTAACTATATCTAGGATGTTGCATGCTAGACTCCTTTTTGTTTGATGTGAGATGTGAGCTAAGATCATGCTAAATTGAGGGTTGTGCATGAATATTATGTGTTGTGAGCACGCCAATACTTGTTAGAAAATATTTGTTTAAAATGTTTTAAGACAAGCATCCTAGTATTGTATAATCATTATAAAAACGTTGTGAATGAAAGTGGTGTGTGATGTAAAATATAATAACTACATAAAATTGCATGTTTGCATGAAATGACCCCTTAAAAGGTAATATGTTAATAAAAGAAAATTCATAATATTTAGATGATTACTTAAAGAGGGTAAAAGTGTAACTCCTTTATTAATTAATTATTATTAAACTAAAAAGGAAAACACACTAGCGGGGCGAAGGCTAGTAACCTAGACATAGGTATATACCCTATCCGGATTATTGCGTGAACTCGATGGGTTGTATGACACCTACAGGAAAAGAGCTTAAGCCAAAGCGGCATCAAATGATTTTATAGGAGATTATTCAAGTCATGGTCCGAACGGTGGGAGGACTAGAGTGATGTTGGTCTAGTGGTGGGACAAGTGCAAACATCATGTGGGATTGGGAGGTGTAACACGGTGGAGTTGGCACTGTTTGTACCAATCCTTAACGACAATGCATGTATATGAATGTTCAATATCAGAGTAGTGAATGCAATGCACCAAGAGCAATTATTACAGGTGGGAGTCGCGCCTCACCTAGTACATTGGGTCGTGTTGGTCACGTTGGGGGTTTGCGGTGAATAAATAGACTCTAACTAGGAAGTATTACTTTAATAACTACAGTGATGATGATCGATGAGTGATTATTAAAATAAAAAGGAGAAATAAATATTATATAATAATATTATAGCGGTGAAAAGATAAAAAAAAAATTAGTTACAGCGGGGTTGAGGAGATTAACTAATAAAGGAAGCTCTAAAAGAAGAATAAAAATAAAAAGAGATAAACAGTGTTTGATATGCGGTGTGATGTTAGTTATGTCTTGATTAAGAGTCTTTGGTTATGTGGGGATGTTTTGTGTGATCCATCTATGATATGTGTCTTCTTCTAACACTATACTGTAATTGACTAACTTAATTTATGCTATCACTTGTTCTTTGCTTGTTAGTTCTTATGTATTTGAACATGTAGCTTGACATGATGCCTTGGTGAGGATGGGAACCATTGGGTAGTTTTAGTTATGATACCATTTGGACATGTGGGGTTTTCATCATTATGTTTTGTGAACTTTAAATTTTGGTGGGTTTATGTTGACATGAAAGTAACATTTGTGATGTTTTTGAAATAATCATAATAATTTTTCTGCAACGTGTTCTATTAAAAAGCGTTTAACTTTTTTTAAAAGAAAATTATGTGAAAATTCACAGTCTTACAAGTTGGCATCAGAGCCATGTTGTGAATGAACTGAATACAGAGGCCGGTGTTCAGACTCATAGTGTAGAATGTCATAATTAGGTGCTTTAGGATCTTAGGGGGGGGATGCTGAGAGATATTTGTTATACGAAGGTACATTACACTGAGAGATTAAAAGAGATTTAGATCACTAGAGTAAATGAATGTAAGGTCTGTTTATGCTTACGTTTCTGTATTGACGATGACATCCCAAAGTTTTAATAAAAACAAAATACATTTCTTCAAATGATACTATGGTTTTCAAATAAACATATATATATATATATATATATATATATATATATATATATATATATATATATTAATAACCATGAATTTGGGGGTGTCACAACCACCCATTGCCACCTCGGGCAATGGTGGTCGATGGTGGTCCATGGCGGTAGCCGCCCACTCAAGGTGTCGATGGTGGTTCTCGAGTGATAAATCCAACAACCCATACACACCTAAAAACCCCTACATCATACATGCACATACTAGTACCAGAAAATAACACAAAAATGCCCAATACAACCACCAAGATATTGGTAGACGGTGGCAGCCACCACCTCACGGTGGTGGTGGTGGTGGGTTTTCTTCGGTCTATCCAGCCAAGCAAAATCCACACGATGCCATACACTGAAACACACATACATATGTGAAAACACATGAAAACACAACGCCCACATGGTGGCATGCAACAGTCAAAGAAATGATGGCAAAAAGGGACAACCGCTCAGAGCGGCGGCGACGACGGGACGTGATGAAGCAATAGAAGAAGCGAAAGGGGTGGAAAGGGGGTTGCGCCTTTACCGAAGAGATGCAACAGTGGCCACAAGCTCCGTTCTTCTAACCTCCCCATTTTCACGACATCAGTCTCGTCGATCCTTGTCTTTGTCGGCAGCATCAACGGCTGTGGTTGCTCGGTGGTTCAGGACATCGACAAACGAGATGGCGACGGCTGGAGACGATATTAGGGTTAGGGTTAGGGTTTGTTTAAATGAGGAGCCAATGGAGGATGGGGGTGACGGGTTTTAATCCCGCCTCCAACTTTCAAACTTTAGTCCATTTTATTCAATTTTAGCCCCTGCCACCAAACATTTTCAGATTAAGTCCAATAATTACCAAACAACCCCCAGCTTCCACAATTCTATTCATAACTAGTTAGAAAGTTACCCTTTAACTACCGATTTCCAGAATTTATAACATTTAATTCCTTGCACTAATACTATTATAAATTAGTACGGATTTAGGGCTGACATAAAAATATAAAAATACATCTCGGGGTTTTACGGTTTATTATTTATTTACTTATTTTATTTATTCATTTTATTTTAAACGAGATGTTACTTAGTTGATTTTGGGCCTGTTTTGGGCTTGGATTTTTTTGGCTAGGTTTTAGTTGATGGGCTGAAAATGGGAGAAAGGTAAAATAGTCTTTTTACCCTAGGGTTTTGGATTGATGGATTAGAACCCCCCCCCCCCCCCCCCCCCCGGTTTTGGATATGACCTAATTATTAATTAGTGTTTTATGTGATTGGTTAGTGCGGAATTCTCCGGTACAACAGCCTAAGCATTTATTCGACTTATTAGCGGACTAAGATGAGTTTGTTCACAATAATGTAGGACACTAATATATGTTATGTGCTTGTACTCTTTGTGCATCCTAATGTATGTGTTGTATGCCTATGTGCCTGTTTGCTATATGTATGTGAGGGTGAAATAGACCCGGGGGTGAAATGGACTCGGTACATGCTTGTGCAAACATATGAGTTGAAATAGACTCGAGGGTGAAATAGACTTGGTGCGGTCTTGGGCTGATGCATGAGCTGAAATAGACTTGGGGGTCAAATAGACCTGGGGGTGAAATAGACCTGACACAGCCTTGAGCTGGTGTATATTTATGGTATGTAGTATTTTGGGGAACTAACTAAGGTTCGTGCTTACGATTTTCAGTTTATATTTCAGGTACTTACGGATCGAATGGGAAGAGCTCGTGATGATCACATCGCACACATCATGACTTTTCACTTATTTGACTATAATGTGTTTTGGATGATTATGAATACATTATGATTTCCCTTTTGTTTTGATAAGTACGTTTGGGTGATGTTTTATTTAATATAGAAACAAAAAATTTTGCCTTTGAGTTTTGCGTTCTTACAGTGAATCACAACTTCTCTTTCATTAGGGTGTAGGATAACATCTTTTTAGTTTTATGTTTAATTTCTTTTAATTTGCTTATAAAAGACAAAATAATAATAAAATTTTTAATCAGGGCACACTAGTCTTATTAGGTTAAACAAAGACTAAGCATGTAACATAAACGTATAAAAGGGACAAAGTGTGCAACAAATTTGGCATTTAAGGACTCCATAGATGGAAAACCCGAGTTACGGACTAAATGCACAAGTAGCATAATACCGCAAGGACCGTTCGTGTAATTTACTCTAATAGTTATTTTAAAATTGTTTCCGTGTCCGCTTAAGAATATTTTATAAAAAAAAATCGTTTTTAGTTTTCCAAAACCCATCACCAGGAGTTTGAGACCATTAGAAGCTTTGTCATCGTTCCGGGAAGATACAATTCTGAATGAGACGACGATTGACGTTGCTGGAAATTTGTTGAAAGTAGAGAGATGGAAACACTCGATGGAGGATTAGTTATGTCGTGCTCCATCCACTGTACCAGTTCCAGTTCAGTTTCTACATCCTATCAATGTTCATATCTAAGATTTCTTCTAGGTGTCTTGGGTATGCCGAAGACAACATGACTCTGACAAACTATGTTGGATTTCATCTCCGACTCCAGCGGTTCCTCTCCGTAAAGAAGGCGGGGGCTTCGACGTTAAGTTGTAAACAAAAGACGAGAGAAAGAAGAATGAGAGATTGAGAAGAGTTAAAGAGTAAGGGTGAGAGGGTGAGATTGGGGTGATATTTGTTTAGTTTTTAATTAAAAAACAATAACAATGTGGATTAATAAAATGAAAAAGGAAATGAAAAGGATAAAAAAAATAATTTTAAATCGACCAAATTCATGAAAATTTTGACCGGAGTAAATTAGAAAGTTTTTGAACTCCATCTAATATGCAGTCTAGTATAAAAAAATTAGGAAGAGTGAGGAAGTAAATCCCAATTTAAGAGTTAGGTTTGAATGAGAGATATTGTTGGGTGATTTCGTTACGGAAAGTCGGAAACCGCCTAGAAGGTGCCGCTTGTCCTTTTGTATAGTTACTATTATATTATTTATTATTATATTATTATTATTTTTTTTTGGAGCACAATATCTCATCCAAACTCTTCATCCTGAATCCTATTTATTGAACTTGTTGCCTCCACGGAAAAAAGCAGGTATCGTACCACCTCTCACCAGCTACCCCTTCACTGCTCTTCTCTCTGATATTTTTGTGGTAGGTACTCTCATCGACTCTTTTTTCACTTTTCCTTCAACTATTTTCAAAGAAATTTGTGCCTTTTTGTTGCTGCTTTTACTTTGTATCGACTCATAGTTACCAGTAATCAATTCTATTTGATTATGAGTTTTTCATGGCTTTGTAGTTTTAGTGCTTAGATTCACTTTGTTTCGTAATAGTTGATCTGGTCATCAGTTTACTAATAGTTGATCTGTTCATCAGTTTACTTGTCCTTCAAATTTGTTTTCAGGTAATTTAGTTGGATTATTTTTGAGTTACTAACTTCATACGCTACCTATATGTTTGACTTTATCACTTGGATAAAAAATCTGGCTCAATCTCTCTTTCTTTTCAAGTGAATCCTTTGATTTCCTTTCAAAATTTGCAGTTTTAAGTGAATACTTTGAATTTGATTTCCATGGATAAAATTTTCTGGCAAAGTTTTTTTTAACTAGTCAATGCTCTGAAAATCAACTTTTTTCTCTAGATCATGTAAGTTGACTTTTGTGCCACGAGGTTCTTTAGGTTCATTTCACGCCTTTTGTGTTTTTAGTTCGACGTACTCCTGATTTAAACCGACTTTTCCTTTCAAGCTCAAAATTATATCGAAATTTTGACGCTATTTAATGTATGGAACGTAATACAACAAGGTGAAGATTATCGACGTCAAGTTTGTCACAAAATTTATACTAACTTTTACCATTAATTTAATTCTACTATACCAATTCATACGCCTTTGTTTCCCACGCTTTTGTCAGGACACTATTCACTATGGGGAATCGATATCTTTGTTTGGCTTTATGTTTATGTGCTTTGATACCCTCTATGCTTGATGCTGCTTCCGATGGGTTACTGAGAATCAACATGAAGAAACGACCTTTGGATATTAATAGCATCAAGGCTGCTAGAAAAGAAAGCAAATATGTTAATGGTCTTAAGAACACGCCACATGGTTTAAGTGATGCTAATGAGGATGTTGTCCCTTTAGTCAACTACTTGGATGCCCAATACTATGGGGAGATCAGTATTGGTTCTCCACCTCAGACATTCACTGTCATATTTGATACTGGTAGTTCCAATCTCTGGGTTCCATCATCCAAGTGCATATTTTCTGTAAGTTTTTTCATCTCATCTCATTTGGTAATTTATGGATCTTTATTACAATTTCCTTACTTTATAGTTTATACCTTCAACTGCTTATATATAGATTGCTTGCTACTTCCACAACCGGTTTAAGGGAACAAAGTCAAGCACTTACACAAAAATTGGTAAAGACATGCACCATTCTCATTTTTTCAAGATGTTTTGCTTACAATTTCTTTACTTTAAGTTAACATATATGTCTTAAACATCTAGGTTTTGTTTCCAGTAGTTACAATATCACTAAATGGTGACCAAGTTTTAAGCTTTGCACATGTTGCACCAAAGTTTTAAGTTTTGCATATGCTTAATGCTTGTATCTTTTTTTTTTTTTTGCTTGGTAATAATTAGGGGACAATTTGCAAATAAACTATGGATCTGGATCAATTTCTGGATTCTCCAGTAAAGACACTGTTCAAGTTGGTGATATTTGTGTCGAAGATCAAGTAAGTCTTCTTCCATCCACAACTTCATACAACTCGATTCTTTCTCACTGATCATGTATAACATTAACATGCATTTTGTTTCAGGATTTCATTGAAGTTACTAAAGAAGGAAGTCTTGCATTTGTAATTGGCAAATTTGATGGGATTTTTGGACTCGGGTTCAAGGAAATTTCAGTTGGAGACTTGCAGCCAGTCTGGTAATAACTCATCACAATTTGGAGCAACTCTTTTTCTTGCTTTTTGTTGTGACTTATAATAATCTTCTTGTAATTAAAATTTACAGGTACAATATGGTTGAACAAGGCCTAGTAAAAGAACAGGTATTCTCTTTTTGGCTAAACAGAAATGAAGCTGATGAAGAAGGAGGTGAACTTGTCTTTGGTGGTGTTGATCCCAATCACTTCATAGGGAAACACTCATACGTACCCGTGACTAGAAAGGGTTACTGGCAGGTGTGTATTTAATATTATAAATCACCAAACTCTGATTCTCTGTCTGTTAAAAAGACTTAATTGCCCTCCTCATCCTCATCATTTTGTTTTACATATGTCTTGCAGTTCAATATGGGAGATTTCCTTATTGGAAACCAATCTACAGGTAATTTGAATCAATATGTTTAATACTTATTTTATCATTGTTTTGTTTCTTAAATTTTTTTTTTTTTTTCTACAGGATTCTGTGAGGGTGGTTGTGCTGCTATTGTGGATTCTGGAACATCCTTGCTTGCTGGTCCAACTGTATGTATCTTAGGGATTTCAAGTTTTTCATATTTATTTTTTTGAAGCTAATTAGTTTGTAAAATTCAGGCTGTTGTCACGGAGATTAACTATGCAATTGGAGGTGAAGGAGTACTCAGCAGTGAATGCAAAACACTTGTGACTGAATATGGAGATATGATCTGGGATCTCCTTGTTTCTGGGGTTCGTGTTTCTTTTTACTGATTAACTGGATAAATGATGTTTAAAATTATTTCAGAAAATGAAACTTTGTAATACTTAATGGGAAAAAAAAACTTCTTTCCATCGTTCTTTGTGCATTATGTCAAAAAGTAACACCTTTAATTTGCTTTATGGTGTTAACTCATGTCCCAATTTTGTCCATTAAGTAAAAAAAAGAAACAAATGAAGAATTCTTTAACCACTTCATTATAATCTTTTATGCTGATAATATGACTTTCAGGTAACACCTGGAAAAGTTTGTTCAGAGGCTGGTTTATGTTTCTCTGATGGAAGTCAGTCTGTGAGGTATGAGTTTTGTAATAGTTTTTAAATTTAATATATTAATAAAGTTCATTTAAATATATAAACTCAAAATGATTTTAAGATTATGTAAAATGTATGGCAATTTAAATACTATCTCGCTATAATTACTAGTTTCTTGATACAATTATTTTGGAAAGATTGGAAATTTTCCACCAAGTTGATGAAATTGGGTCAATTCCAAATTGATCTATTAAAATAATGTGAGTCAACTATTGACTATTAGTTGGTAATCAAGCAGTAGAAGCTGAATTCCTACATGCAGTGACATACTTCTATTGATTTGTTTAGTAGTTATAGCACACTAATTTCATTTGTTCATATTACAATATTGTCCTTATGATGGTGGAATTTTACTTTTGTTGCAGTTCAAACATTGAAACAGTGGTTGGGAAAGAGAATGATGGACTTGGGGATACAGTGTTATGTGAAGCTTGTGAAATGGCTGTTGTTTGGATGCAAAACCAGCTCAGACAATCAGCGACCAAGGAAGCCGTGCTAAGCTATGTGAATAAGGTGACTCTTGATTACTGTTATTATATTACCATTATACACACACACACACACACACACACACACATATATATATATATATATATATATATATATATATATATATATATATAATTGACAATGTTGAATAGCTTTGTGAGAGCATACCAAGCCCAGCTGGAGAATCAGTAATCGATTGCAGTACCCTCCATAAGATGCCAAATGTTTCATTCACCATTGGGGAAAAACTCTATACCCTCACTCCAGAACAGGTATGAATGAATTCTTCAATTCTGTATATGTGATTGTACTTAATAAAATCCACCCAATTATAATAGCATTGAATTTCAAATTTTCTTATATCCGAAAAATTTACCTGATTATAGCAATGAAAATTGGTTGGTAATAGGAATAAATAAGTATGATGATATATAATAAACAAATCAAAGAAAGTACATTGCTATTTCTTGCGTTTAAGCCAATTAATGTTTTGTCTTTGATGTCAGTATATTCTGAAAACCGGAGAAGGTGCGGCTACTGTTTGCATCAGTGGTTTTATGGCATTGGATATGCCACCTCCAACAGGCCCTCTTTGGTATGTACAATTTTCATACTGAAAACCAACTCATAATATAAGTATTTTAGGTATAAATATTACAATTTTAGGTATTTAATGGGGTGTGATGCTATGTTGGGTGCAGGATTCTGGGAGATGTGTTCATGGGTGTTTACCACACTGTGTTTGACTACGGAAATCTGCAGCTGGGATTTGCTAAATCAGCATAGTTTACTGTCTGATTAGCGTGGAAAAAATAACTTTAAGCCTCTCATGTAAATATATAATATTGTGGATGTATCGTGTACTTGAATATTTTTACTGTGGTAACGAATACGTTAGGAGGAGGGGTTGTATTGTATGATGTTATTTCGCTCATTTGCGACCCTTGATGGTTGCATATGATGTGCGTAAGTTATTATCTAAAACTGAACTTGAGAAAAACAATTGTGGTTCTTTTGTTTATCCTGGATTGATATTTACAATATGTCTTTGTCTTTGCTCTTACATGTTATGAGTGCTTTGGATTTTTACTATGCTTGGGGTGTATTGAGTTGAACCTAGCTTGATGCAAACACGATAAAAGTTAGTACTTCTTTATGCCTTGTATAGAAAATGTGATGTGTTCTTTTTTTCTTAATCCCATTATAAAAAATCCCCTAATCTAATAAATAAGAGCAATTTCACCATGGTGGCATTCTATTAGCCCCAGTGAATTTCCTATATTACCCCCTTCTTTCTTTCTACCTAGCCCTACTATACGGTTTCCTCTTCTCCACGCTCAAATCAAATTCAAAGTTCAAACCGAATCCTTGTAAATCAGCAATAAATCATCGACAAAATCAATTTATTACGTCCTTTTTATCTCCCTGTTTCTCTCTATAATTGTACATGGATTGTGATTAGGTTTTTAAAAATTTCTTTCTTTCAACAAAACTTTACGTCGGTCATCTTCACCACCACAATCTATCCTCCTTCATCATTCTTTCAGTGGGGCTTCTTATTTAACCACTCTTGCTCAAGAATTCTCCTTCGGAATGAGGTAAGTGTTTTATCGTTTGTTGCTGCTATTCCTTATTCTTTTGTCCCTGGAAATCTTGAGGTTTGAGATTTAGGTTTTCTAATTCTACCACCCCCGTTCGATAATTGCAGATTCCAAGCATTTGGTAAAGATTTTAAGTGACATATAAGTAGGTGCCCTTCCTTATTTTCACTTTGTTTAATCTATAATTTTTCTCATTTCGGTTTACACTCATCAATGATGAATCTATAGAAATTAAAGGCGAGAATCGCTAATGATTCGCCAAGAAAAGAGGATTTCAACAAGTTTATGAGTATACTTACATGTGGATTTCTTCTAGGTTTGATACTTTTAGAGTAGTTAGGTGCTAAATAGGTCTCACATCGGATTTCTCACTGAAGTGTCACCACCATGCTCTTATATATGCACGAAAAAGAAATGTCGGTGATGAACCAAGGTAAAAACCATCCAAGGATTCATAGATGGTGTTTCTGATATGCTATGTAAAAGCTTAATTTCCAATGCTTAAGGAGATGGATTGGAGTGATCTATTGTTTTTTTAAGTTTCTACTTAATTTTTTTCCTTTTATGGAAAATTCATTTTCCCATCTGTGAATCGTTGGGTTTGAAGAGGCATAAAAACTTTGTATTCCATGTAAAATGATTCAATTTAAATTATTCATTCTTATTTTTATTTTGATTTATATATATTAATATGAGGGGTCTACATTTTAATTTATTTGGATTTATAGGAGAAGTAGTATCATCAATTTTAGAATAAAGATTATCTCCAATTCTTCACTTTGCATTTGCTTCACTCTTTATCAGTGTATGTAAAATATATAAAATATCAAGCACAAACTGGCTTGGTCAGGTCTTGATTGGGGAGATTATTCATTTTTCTATTTTGCTTCATCAAGGTAAAGTAGGGCAATAAAATGATGTTGGTAAAGTAGTAGAGGAAAACTGTTTACCTATGAGAAATGATGATAGATTTAATACATATATCGACTCAAACTATTCAACTGATATGTTTTTATAGAAGTACCCGATCAAAAACAAGATAGGGTTGATGTGGGTTTAATTTTCCTGGGCAATACTTCCAGACGTACAACTGGAATTTATCAGTTTTTAAGTGAATGTAAAATGTTATAACAAACAAATAAGTGAAAGTAGAATGTTATTTCTAGGATATAATGATTAGAAACCTTTTTAAAATTAGGATAATAAAAGTAATAGAAACATAAATGAACCTTCTGCTGCTATTTTTGGGTAATTTAAATAGTTTTAATACATAATGTTTAATTTTTATATCCATTTTAATTAGTTGCTAAGTTTTTTTTAATTAGTTTCTATGTGGTAGCGAATTTTTTAGAGCTTGATGTGAAAAAGGAGGGACTTTCACTGTTAAAATGTGTCCTCTTGCCATGACGGAATATATGCCAATTATATTAAAGTTATTTTGCAATGAAAATATATGATGAGAAGTTAATCACTTAACTTATATTATACTAGGTGTGAAAATACACGAGTTGATTTAAAAAAGATTAAACATTAAATTACAATGTAATTTTTTTTTAATTTATAACTTTAAAATAAGAAATAAATAAGTGTATTTATTGCAATTTAGTATCATATATATGATATTTAATACTACATATATATATATATATATATATATATATATATATATATATATATATATATATAATTTTAAATTTAAAAATTGAAACAAATCAAAGTCTCCCCCAATTGAAGTAGACTTCGTCCTCGAAGTCTGCTGCGGTGAACAGTCCCGGATAATGCTTTCGCATTTCTGCCTCAGCCTCCCACGTCCATTCGGACCCCTTCCGGTGCTCCCATTGTACCTTCACCAAAGGTATTTCCTTGTTCCTTAGTATCTTCACCTTTCTCTCCAGTACAGCCACGGGCCTCTCCAAATAATTCAGGCGCTCATCGACCTGAATATCATCCAACGACACTACCGCCTCCTGATCCATGATGCACTTTCGCAGCTGCGAAACGTGGAAAGTGCTGTGTATCCGACTAAGCTCCTCCGACAGCTCTAGCCTGTAAGCCACCTTGCCAACCCTGGCAATGATCCTGAACGGCCCGATATATCGGGGACCCAATTTCCCCCTCTTCCTGAAGCGGATCACGCCCTTCTAGGGCGAGACATTCAGGAGTACCATGTCCCCCACCTGAAATTCCAACTCGGACCGGCGTTTGTCGGTGTAACTCTTCTGTCGACTCTGAGCGGTCTGCAAGTGCTGTCTAACTTGCTGGATCTTTTCGGTAGTTTGCAAGACTATCTCCGTACTACCCATCACCCTGTGTCCAACTTCACCCCAACAGACCGGGGTGCGACATCTCCGCCCGTACAACAGCTCGAATGGCGGGGCGCCAAGGCTAGAATGATGACTGTTGTTGTAGGCGAACTCCGCAAGCGGTAGGTGAGAGTCCCATCTCCTACCGAAATCAATGACACATGCCCTCAACATGTCATCGAGGGTCTGAATAGTCCGCTCGCTCTGGCCGTCGGTCTGCGGGTGGAATGCTGTGCTGAAGTGCAACCGCGTGCCCAACTCCTCGTGAAACTTTTGCCAGAAGCGGGAGGTAAACCTGACATCACGTTCAGAGACAATGGAGACAGGAACCCCATGGCGAGACACGATCTCCCGAACGTACAACTCGGCCAATTTTTTCGGCCGATGAGCCCTCTCGAATAGCTAAGAAATGGGCGCTCTTGGTCAATCGATCTACGATGACCCATATAGCATCAAACCCCTTTGCCGTCTTCGACAATTTGGTAATAAAATCCATCGTGATCTGTTCCCATTTCCACATGGGAATCTCTAGGGGCTGCAGCTTTCCATGGGGCCTCTGATGCTCGGCCTTGACCATCCTACATGTCAAGCACGTCTGCCTAACCCCACCCGTCATCGGGACCTAAACCCGTCATCGGGACCCAAACCCGACCGCATCGGGTTAATAGTCCCCGACTATCTTGCACAAACTGGGAGTTCTCGCCTTTGATCCTCTCCAGCTTCCAATTTTCCGGGCGGATGCCCTCAACCTGGGCGTCTCTGATCAAACCTACCAGCGGAGAATCCACTGCTATCCTCATACATACTGCTGGGGTGGAAGACCCTGCTGACTTGCGGCTCAAAGTGTCCGCCACTACATTCGCTTTATCAGGATGGTAAAGGATCTCGCAATCGTAGTCTTTGACTACGTCCATCCACCTATGCTGCCTCATGTTCAGGTTCGGTTGATCCGTGATATATCTCAAGCTCTTGTGATCCATGTAAATGGTACAACGGATCCCGTAGAGGTAGTGTCTCCATATCTTGAGGGAAAACACCATCGCCTCTGTTCCAAGTCATGCGTAGGGTATCTCGTCTCATTCGGCTTCAGCTTCCGCGATGCGTAGGCTATCACTCGTCCTATCTGCATGAGGACCGCCCCTAAACATGTGATGGATGCATCGTAGAACACCAAAAAAATCCTCGACTCCCTCCAGGAGTGCCAATATTGGAGCCTCGCACAATTGCTGACGGAGGGTCTCAAACGCCCTCTGATGCTCGTGATGGGTTTTGGTCATAAGACATCCTATATCCTCATACAAACCCTAATGATTGGATCTAGGTTTCTCTATTGCACATGCTTTGAATCCAAGACTATAAACCCTAATTCTAGTATTCAAGTAATCATGTTAACATAAGAATGAGTTTATAATGTTACCTTGATTGTTATGTAGCAATAACAATCCCAATTCCTCCTTGAATTGACTTTGGAATGCTTAGAGTCACAAGTGTCACTCCTCTAATGGCTTACAAACACCAAGAGCAAATGGAGAAGGTATAAAGAGAGAGGAGAGAGGTTAGAATTCATCCTTAAGACTTCTTGGGAAGGGATACACGAATTCATGAGCCTTGGGGTCTTTATATAGGTGTAGAGATAGGGTTTCAGTCATTATCCTTATCTAGTTGCTTATCCACAAAGCAACCCATAAGATAATCCTTGAATCCTTATCATGGTCAAATTCTAAGGCCTTATCACCTCAAATTCGTTCACCCTATACTTAAGATAATCCTTACCTTATTTTGTAACTATCACATAATTACAAATCAGCCCCTCTAGTTTAATTAATTACACTTGATCACAAAATTAATTCCTAATTAATTATTGACCAATATTAATTAAACAAATATGATTTCTCCTTTAATATATTATTCTTATAACATATTAATAAATCATAATAACCTCTCTCTCTATTTATTTCTCCAATCAAGTTGCTTTGGTGAAGGCAACCTAAAAGGACCATGCACCATCGGGTCAAGTACATACCAAAATAGTTATGGACTTAGACACTAATCCAACAGTCTCCCACTTGGATAAGTCTAATAACTATTCTGCATATGACTTCAGATCCTGATCTGCAATCGTAGCTTTCCAAAGCCGCTGTCAACTCTGATCCTATCAGATACGCGTGTCCTTAGATAAGGGATCATATATTCCTCCATTCTAGATATCATATGAGATATGATTTCAAATCATTCTCTTTGTACTATATCTCGATTTCCGATTTATGACGACTGACTAATTGAACAAATCAAATTAGCCCTAGCCCGGCCGAGCATTTACGTTTGTCATCACTAAACCATCGAGGGGC